TTACGATGAGTTACGGTATTGAGAGCACAAGGAAGGTGTAACGAAACAATCACTCATGCAGTTAACTTAGTTATTTCAAGTCTGGTGCAAAAACGCATGATCGCACCGGCTCGCCTGGTGCGTTCCAGCCTGGGTTTTCGCTGGTTCTTATGCCTTTTTGTGTGTATGCAAGTGCAAGAACGAATACTGGCAAGAAGCTATCTATGTGTATGCACTTTCTGTCGCCCACTTTCAACTCGAAAATCAGAAATGTTAGAAAGGTAAAAATTCGGAAGCATGTGCCTATAACACATGCGACTCCTCCATTTTTATGCGTTTTTGCATATATGTGAATTGCAAAAAATGGAAATTATACATTTACTTTGCAAAATTTATGGTGATTTATGCTGGTGACCGCAAAAAGTAGGTGTAAAGCAACAGCCGTTCATACTGTTAATGACCTGGGTAATTCAAGTCCGATGCAAAAACGCATGATCGCACGGGCCTGGGTTTTTTTTTAAAATATTTGCTGTCAATGTATGAGTCCATTGAAACGGCATTCGTGCACACCTGTACCGCGTGCACGGTACGTCATTTTGGTGGAACGTGATTTTTAAAGCCAGTTGAGCTTGAAAGCTGAATTATTCTGAGGATATGGCGATAATGTGATCGAGCTCAAGCGGTCTCACTACAACTCGAAATCGTGTAAAAAAACATGATCGTACCGGCAAGCCTGGTGGATGGCGGAGCTGATCTTCGTTACTGTGAAAAAATTTCACGTCATTTGAGTATGCATCTTCAAGTGTTTCTATTTTCTCTGTGAAATCATACATTTCATCATCCGTTAATTTCATCTTCTGCGCTCTTGCTTTCTGTAAATAGCCAGTTTTTTAGTCGTGGAATATCAAAAAAATGAAGATTCCCAACTGAATTCAGACATTTTTTTTTGAAGGAAATAAAAAACCTAACATTTTTGCCTGCATTATCTTTTATTTTCAAAATGAATTTAAACCTGAATCGAACAATTTTGTTTGGAGTTAGCAGCTCTAACATTCGCAGTCAAGCTAACTGTGTAAAATTGTGACCTCGCATCCAAACACCCAAGAAACGGGGCCGATTACACTGAGCGTTTAATTCCGTGAAAGTTTGAAAATTGGGAATAAAATTTGAGGTTTTAGGTCCCTGCATAGTCATGCTGTGGCCTCTGACATGTTTGTTACTATTTTCATTTGGAGTCCGATAACCTTGAAAGTTGCATATGTCTACGCGTCCAGCGCTACTTCGCTTATATCAATCATCAGTATGAAAGGAAATGCAAGACCTATAAATTGCAAGAACAGTAAAATGCAAGACAGTAAAATGCAAGACCTATAAATTTCAAGTGTCCTTTCAGGAATGACAACAAAAAAAGGCTCTAAACGAATGGGGCGATCATTGAAGGAATAGATGAAGCACCTTGGCCGCATCCACTCTGTCTCTGTATTAACAAAGCTGTTCTCTGAGTATCTTTAAAGGTTAATCGCTCTAGTATTACTTACTAAGGACGCGCACTGCTCGGATACATCAAATGATGCGTGCATGCAAAACCAGCTTTTGATGCAGCTGGTGTTTGCACATTCTCGCTGACAGAGCTCCATTTGCAAGTGAGGACACAGGGGAATCGGATCACTCGTCTTCACCTTCAGATGGTAAGTCACTGAACTAGCTAACTTTATACTCTCAACTCAATAGCCCGAGCATCAGCTGTGCGCGCATAGCACTGCATATCTTCTAGTTGATGCACTGTTTAGCATGTATTATAACAGCTGACTGCACACCACAGGAAATCCTCAAAACAAACTAAATCTCGACCTTGAGTTTCGGGATTTCAAGCTTAGACTTGTGCAGACGTTGTAAAACAGAACATAGTGGAAAAGCAATCACATTTC